GGGGCAGTTTATGATCCTGGTGAGTGGTCCAGTGCCTCCAAAGGGAATTTCTGTCTGCTGCTTACATGGAATAACAGGGGTGTGTGTTGGTCTTTTTATTAATTTTTTCTTCTTAGTTATACATAACAGTAGAATGTATTTTGACATATTGTACATACATGGAGTATAATGTCCCATTCTTGTGGTTTTACATGCTGTGGGGTTACACTGGTTGTGCATTTATATAAGAATATAGGAAGTTTATGTGCAATTCATTCTGACTTTCCTAATCCTATCCCATCTCCCTTCCTTTTATTTCTCTTTGTCAAATTCAGTAAACTTCTATTCTTCTCTCTCACCCTCCCTTGTTGAGTATTAGCCTCTGCATATCAGAGACAACATTGAGCCTTTGGATTTGTTTCAGATTGACTTACTTCACTTGGCATGATAGTTCCATGCATTTACTGGCAAATGCCTTAATTTCATTCTTGTTTATGGTGAGTAATATTCTATTATGTATATGTACCATATTTCTTTATCCATTTATTTGTTGAAGGGCACCTAGGTTGGTTCCATAGCTTAGCTATTGTGATTTGGGCTGTTTTATACATTGCTGTGGCCGTGTCACTGTAGCTGCTGATTTAATGTTCTTAGGGTATAAACAGCGAATTGTATTAGCTGTGTCAAATGGTAATTCTATTCCAAGATTTCTGAGGAATCTCCATACTGCCTTACAGAGTGTTTACACCAATTTGGAGTCCCACCATTAATGTTAGAGTGTACCTTTCCCCCCCAACATCCTTGCCAACATTTTATTGTGACTTGTATTATTGATAATTGCCATTCTGACTAGAGTAAGATGGAATCTCACTGTAGTACTAATTTATATTTCTCTAATTGCTGGAGACGTTGAACATTATTTCATATATTTGCTGACTGAATATATTTCTTTTTATATGAAGCAACTTATCAGTTCCTTTTCCATTTATTGATTGGGTTATTTGTTTGTTTATTTCAGTGTTTTTTGTTTTTTTAAAAATATTTTATTTATTTATTTATTTTAAAAATAAATAAAAAAATAAAAAAAACTACCAACAACAACAACAAAACAAAACAAAAAACCCCAAACTGTGAAAAACTAGCATTTTATGTGTTAAGTTTTTTGAATTCTTTATATATCCTGGAGATCAATGCTGTATCTAAGGTGCCAGTGGCAAAAATTTTCTCCCAGTCCATGGGATCTCTGTTCACCTTCTTGATGTTCCCCTTATTGTGAAGAAGCTTTTTAGTTTGATATCATCCCATTTATTGATTCTTTATTTTACTTCTTGCACCTTAGGAGTCTTTGAGGAATTTGCTTCCTAAGTTGACATGATGGAGAGTTGGTGCTACTTTTTCTTCTAGTAGGTGCAGGGTCTCTGGTGTAATCCTAGGCCCTAGATCCACTTTGAGTTGAGTTTGGGACAGGGTTAGAGACAGCAGTTTAATGTCATTTTGCTACATGCAGCTGTCCAGTTTTGCCAGTACCATTTGGGAAGAGGCTCTCTTTTCTCCAGGTAGGTTTTTGGTGCCTTGTCTAGTATGAGAGAACTGTGTGTGKGGGTGCATCTGTTTGTCTTCCAATCTGTACCATTGGTCTTCATGTCTGTTTTGGTGCTGAAATTGTGCTGATTTGTTACTGTCGCTCTGTAGTATAATTTAAGGGCTGGTATTGTGATGCCTCCTGCTTCACTTTTCTTGCTGAGGATTATTTAGCTATTCTGGGACTCTTATTTTTCCAAATGAATTTCACAACTCCCCTTTCTATTTCTACAAAGAACACTATTGGAATTATAATATTTCCTTTTTACCCCTAAATAGGCATAGTGCTTTTGGTAATATAGCCTTTTTGACAATATTACCTCTGCCTATCCAAGAACGCAGGAGATCTTTCCACACTCTAAGGTCGCATTCTATTTCTTTCTTTAGTGTTTTGTACTTGTCATTGTAAAGGTCTTTCACCTCTTTTGTTAGATTGATTCCCAAATACTTTWTGAGGCCATTATGAATGGGATGGTTTTCCCAATTTCTATTTCAGTTAACTCATCACTGATATATAGGAACACAATTTATTTATGAGTGTTAATTTTATATCCTTCTGCTTTCTGAATTAATTTCTAAGAGATGTTTTCTGGTGTAATTTTTAGGATCTTCTACATATAGAATTATGTCAGTGGCAAACAGAGATGGTTTGAATTCTTCTTTTCCTATCCGTATTCCTTTAATTTCTTTCTTCTGTCTAATAGCTCTGGCTAGAGTTTCAAGGACGATGTTGAACAAAAGTGTTGAGAGGGCATCCCTGTCTTGTTTATAGAGGGAATGCTGTCAGTTTTTTGTTATATAGAATGGTGTTGGACTCGTGTTTTGCATACATAGCTTGGACAATGTGGAGGTGTGTTCCCATTATCATTAGTTGTTTTAGTGTTTTGAATATGAA